AAGTAAAGGCCTAGTGAGGAGGTGAGGTCTATGCTCGAGTCAAGGCTCGGTGTGACGGCGGTTGGGTCCGTGCCCGAAGCCAGACCTATTGCGGGATCCGATCCCTTGGTCGTATGGGGGATTGGCTTCGAGGTCAAGCCCGCGGTAGCCGAAGAGCCCTCAAGTTGATCTGGCATCCATTCGGAAAGTGCATTCTGAGCTCTTGAACTTAATGATTTGGTCCGGGGCAAAATTCTCAACGTGGTCGAGATGACCCATCGAGTTGGCGTGCGGGACAATCTTGCCAAACGCGAAGAGCTGGTCGGGAACGAAGACGTGACCGCAGCTGGTGTGGTAGTTAATCTGCAGACGAGCCATTGATCTTTTTTACCGCATAACAGAGCTTTTGATTAAAGCACCAATGTCAGTACAAAAACCGGCAGGCCTCGGGTAGGGGGCCCTGAGCTGTGGATCTCGAATTGATGGGTAACAGGAGACGAAAGGGACAGTATTTACCCGAGTTCGGGCCCTCTCGAAGAGTTCAAACCCTATGTCTTGCTTTGATTGTATTGATGATGATGTATCGAGTACAGGCTTGATCTACCTCGAGATCGTAAGTTGTGTTCTAATCCTAAGGTGAGTAATGATGAATCTCTCCTAACCCTAATGACTAAACCCCTCAGCATATATAGGCACTCGGGGTACCTAGGATTACATATGGTCGGTTGCCATTTGGGGATAAACAGGCCAATGACCAAAATAATTCTTGGGAAGCAAGTCAAGTCTTCGGTGGAGTCCACCTTCACCACGCCATGGATCGAGGCTTCCGGAGTCCCTACCTATGAGATCGATGGGCCATAAGCTCGGCCCAGGGACTAAAGCCAACTAGGTTGGTACCCCCTGGTCCTGGACATCGTCAATTAGGAATTTATAAAGATGTCCAATATACATTGAATCTGGATTTAAATCCATGATACACAAAAAAGCTTCACGTAAAATTATAAAACTTGGATATTAAATTGGCTTGAGTATAAGATGAATTTAGGAACTTGAATCAACTGAACTAGATTTCAGTGAATAATTTATGAATTTTTTAAATTGACTCGAAATTCAAAAAGGCATTTTGACACTGTTCGCACTTAAAATCCACACCGAGCAGGCTAGCCCAATTACTGAGTGGACTCCATCATGGCCAGTGGTCGCCGACGTTGAGCTCGCCGGGGTGTGCCACCGACAGGTGGGCTAAGGTGTTCAGGTGAGCCCACTCGTGAGGCCCTCATCCAAGTCCCACTCGTTAGAAACCCATCCCAGGTAACAGTCAATAGGTTTGAATAGAAACTCTCTGTTTAGGCATTTGTGAGGCTGATGTGCAGAGAGGAGGGGGGAAATGAGGAATGGTAAGGCGGCGGGACAAAACTGAGTAGTACTAAGGAACCAGAAGCACGAAATAGAAATCCCAAAAAAATTAGGTAAACCTTATGAGTTATGACTGGAAGCCCAATAGTAGGTGCTCCGGAAAGGGATCGTTTTACATGGGTTTCTATGAAGCATTTAAGCATATTTCTCACTAAAGCATTCAATGATCCTCTTCCCATCTTACTATAAGCAATAATTGATTAAAAAATTGCCACAATTGCAAGATTAAGACAATCTCATGACTGGAAGCTCAATAGCAAGTGTTCGAAAAAGGGATCGTATACATGGTTTTATTTGAAAAGGTTTTAATAACAGCTTAACTTGCCAGTTGTCAATAAACATTCGAAAAAAGGCTCGTTTTCCATGGTTTTATTTGAAAATAACTCTACTCCTAAAGGGGGAGTTGGTAGCTTCGCCCCACGGTTTTTTCATCTAGTTTTTTCCCTCTCACCTCCCACCATCCCCTCCCACTGGATTTTTCTCCATCCCATTAAAAAACCAAATACCATTAAAGGGGAGATCTTGTCTCGTGGTTGCTTTAGCAGTGCTGATTTAATTCAATCATGTAAATAATACTCCCTCCGTTCCTTGATATAAGGTGTATAGATTTTTAATAAAAAATCCAAAATATATGGTGTATTGCGTTGCACCACTCGTTTGGATAATCTTTTTTAGGGATTTGATTACATTTCCTTATATCAGGCAAGCTCCTCTATTTTCTCATGTCAATTAGTCAGGTGCAATCTCGCCCAAAACTTGTGAAATTTTCCCTCCACGTGCGTTTTTTAATTTCCGTGCCAAAAACTATACACCCTATATTTAGGAACGGATGGAGTAGGTAATTAAGAATTCAGAAAACGCATCATATATGTGAGATCACCTTGCTAATAGACAGACATAAGATTTTTCTCGATAACCTTCCAAAACAAAATCAGATATTCATCAAGAACAAATCGCTAATCCTGCACACTATGTCATTTATTATTATCATTATCTCTACTATTAATTGCCAATCAAAAATTTCCTAAACAAAAATAACATATCTTTATTCTTATTATATACACATTCGCGCGCCCCTGCGGAGAAATCCCGTGTGTGACACCATGGAGGATGCCATGACCGGACCAGACATCGGCGCGATGTTCCAGAATGTCAGGGCATGGAGCACAGCGTCGAGGACGGTCGTGGCGAAAGACGGGTCATCAACCGCCACGTATAGGCATTTGTGGACGCGATCATGTTATATTTCTTATCAGACATACAGAGGAGGCGGGCTACATTCTAAAATCAAGTGTAGTCATTCAAAAGTCGTGAAATTCTTTAAGGAGATGTGTCCTAGAACACTCGGTGGGCCTTGTAGAAATGAATCCACTGCAAAAGCGTCTTACCACAAAGGTTCAATTGAACTATACAAGAGGTGTGTTAAATGTGTAATATTCTCTATTATCAAAGAAAATATTTACGTAGTCGTTATTCGTAGCAGTTATTCATGCAAAAATAATTTGAAAATCAAGGCGCTAAATTAATTTGGAAATCAAAACATTAATGCAATTAATTATCTAGACAGTTAATTGCATTTGAAATTAATTAGGTCCATTTAAATAGAATTTTTTGTCCACATCGAATCTATTTAGAAACCAAGTCAGTCATTAATGCAATTAATACATTAGGTAGACAACTAATTATGCCTACAAATAATTAGAGGTAGGAATTTTTCCCAATTAGGCAGATAATTAATTAATTTGGTTGGTAGTCGGTTAGGCATGCAAAGAATTGGATAGGTCATTAATTATTTGTGTAAGTAATTAATTAAGTAGGCGGTTAATCGCGCCGAATCATTTTGAAAGCGCTCGTGAGCAATGATAGTCAACAAGCTCTCAGCGACATGGTTGAGCACTGCCTACCAACATGGACAACGACCACCATGCGCTCGCGACATGGGCAACCAAGCATTCACCAAGATGGATGACGACCATGCTTTGCAGGATGTCCACACGCCGACGGTTGCCGAAACATTCATGGGCGAGGACAACACAACACTACATTGGCCAGGTGGTTCATGCTGTAGTAGAAAGGAAGAGTGTTTCAAGAATAAGAAGGGAAAATAATTAAAGCGGCCAAGTGATACATGATGTTGGAGAAGGAAATAGTGTTCAAACAAATAAAGTGAAAAAAGAAGAAAACAAAGAGTATTCTAGAAAATAAGTAGGAACAAGAACTAAATCTGGCGAGGAATGAGGAAGAAGAAGATGATGCGTCACTGACAAACGCACGGGTACCGACGTGGTGCTGGTTGGCGCCAACAAAAAGGGTCAGCGAAGAGGCTACGAGTAGAAGGTGTAGGAAAGGACCGGTAAGAGAAGAACGACAAATATCCATTCTAGCATGGAGGTGGAGCTTATTGATCACTCGCCTCCCACGTCAGGAAGACACAGTTGTAATAACATCTTAACTTGTCGGTTGCCAATAAACATTCAATGATCCTCTTCTCACCTCAGAAGCATTTTGCTAAAATTGCAAGATTGAGAAAAAATATCATGACTGGTAATAACATCTTAACTTGTCGGTTGCCAATAAACATTCAATGATCCTCTTCTCACCTCAGAAGCATTTTGCTAAAATTGCAAGATTGAGAAAAAATATCATGACTGGTAAGCCCAATAGCAAGTGTCATAGCTTTGTCGTAGCATTTGGAAAACTGATCTCGTTGTGTAGAAAAAACTAGTGCACCAGCCGGGAATCGAACCCGGGTCTGTACCGTGGCAGGGTACTATTCTACCACTAGACCACTGGTGCTTCTTGCTAATTTTAGCGATGAAAACGTATATTACCGTCTGTTAAAACTTATATTACCTGGAATACAAACAAACAAGCAACCAGGGTACAACAAAATTAGGCGAGTTTCGACATGGATCAGGTGGTGGCATCGGCATGTGGAGAGGCAGCGCTAAACAGTAGGCCTGCCTTCTTGTCGCCAGCGACGTCTATCTGCCTGGTTCGTTAAGCCTGAATGAAAGAAGAAGAAAAGCCGCACGCTACTCGTGTCCCCTCCCTCCCTCGCTCCTCCTCATCCACTTCTCTTCTTCTCCTTGCCAAAGAAGGACGGGCCCCACGGGTTCCCCTCTCCTCGTTACCTTTTGTTATGCCAAGAGCAGCTTACGTCTTGCTTTGCCTCTCCCCTCCTGTCCTCCCTCGCTAATCCTTCTCTTCTTCCACCAGTGTTGCCACTGTGCCTATGATGTCGAGGTCTACCCACCCAAATCACATGCCCCCCACCTCCACTTCGCCTTCTCTTAGCCAAGTTGCCCAAGATGAGAACACAATCAAAGATTTAAGAGCATACGAGCAGATAAAAAAGAACGCCCGATCAATTTCATTTTGCAAGCGATACCATATCAATCATCCATGCTCGCTCTGCCAAGACGAGAAACGATGCATGCATACACGCAACAACAAACACTAGGGGAGAACGGCGACGGGCAATCCATCTTTGTCCTATATACATTTTCAGTTCAACAGCGCTACGCCGATACATCATCGTCATCGATCACAGGGTCATGAGATAATTAACAACGATGGATCCGGCGCTTCGTTCTGCTAACACACTACTTGCAAAAACACAACAAGATGATGATGATGATGTACACATGCATCCATCCATCCATCCTCCTAAAGAGAGATTTTACAACAACAACATGATCGTCGCCTTCTTTCTCCATCTCGATGCCGATCGGGCTATAACGACGGCGACGACGACGACGCCGATCATACGGTGGTGAGTAATAGGATCGCGGTTTCCTTGCTACTACCTGGTGGATGGGATTCGATCATTACCGGATTTGCATCGCGGTGCCCGGCTCGGCGAGGCGGCCGTAGAGCGCCGCGTTGAGCTGGTCCTGCGAGTACACCCGGGTGGCCATCTTCACCGCCACCTGCTGGATCATGATGTCCTTCACCACGGAGACGCTGGCGTGGTACACGTCCAGGTCCAGCTCCCGCAGCGCCGTCATCAGCTTCGCCGCCGGGTGGTTGCGCTTGTGGCACTGCACGCGGATCATCGCCTCCAGCCCCAGGATCTTGGCCTCGATCTCCACCGCGTGGCACCGCGACCCGTTGTCGTGCATCCCCGACGACGGCGCGGCCGGCCGGGCGTCGCGCTCCTTCTTGAGCGCCTCGATTTGGGAATGGAGCGTCTCCTTGTCCGACTCCAGCGCCGTCATCTTGCCGCGGAGCTCGTTGATGTAGGAGATGGCGTCGCCGAGCAGCGACGCCTTGTCCATCTTGGACACGTTGGGCACCACGGCGCGGAGCGCGTAGAACCGCTGGTTCAGCTTCTCCCGCCGCTGCCGCTCCGCCTCCACGTGGTTCAGGGGCTCCTCGCGCCCGTTCGCCGGCTTGCGCCCGCGCTTGCGCGGCCGCTTCTCCTCCGGCGGAGGCACCACGCGGCTGCTCTCCACCTCGCGGACCGACGCCTCCAGGTCGGAGTGGTCGGACTCCGACTTGGCTGGCGCGCCCGTGCCGGTGGACGGCCGCGTCGTCGGCGCCGACGAGAAGGACAGCATCCCCTCGTTGGCTGTGGCGGTCTGGTGGTGGTTGGTGTTGCTCGCGCGGGAGGTGGCCTCCATGGACCGCTTCGGGTTGTTCTTGGCGTCGTTTGATGGGGCCGTCACAGTCGCCGTGTGCTGGGAGAAGAGGCTCCCCGGCGCGGTGGTGAGGCTGGCCGTCGCGGCGGGGGGCGCCGGCGAAGGGTTCCTCCGGCTGGTGCTGTCAGCGCCAAAGTTTAGGATCTCACCAGACTCGGGCTTGAAGAAAGGCGGGGTCACCGTGACGGATGCGTTGGACGCGAAATCTGAGAAATTGAGCTCCCGGCGGAAAGGGCCCTGGTTGTGCTGGTGCTGGAGTTGGAGCTGGTGCTGATGCTGGAGCTGGTGCTGGTTCTGCCTCTGCGCCGCCGCAGCCGCTTGCTGTGGCGGAGGCTGCTGCGCGTGCACGGACAGGCTGGGGTTCTCCGTGAGCGTGCTGGTGCTCCCGTTCTCGAAGTGATGGATCTGCGGCGGCTGTGGCGGCGGCGGCTTGGAGACGGAGATCTCGACGGACGGCGGTGACTCCTTCATGTCCCCGGCCGGCGCGTCGGCGAGCCAGAGCACGGACGGATCCGTCTCCGCCTCCTGCGGCGGCGGCGCCACGGGCGGCCAGGATCCAGAGCCCCCTCCTCCGCCGTTGAGGTTGAAGAGCGAGCGGATCCTCCCCAAGCTATCGTTGGTCTGGAAGATGACCTCGGTGGCGCCGAGCTCGAGCACGCCGGTGCCGAGGGGGATGCAGACCATGGTGCGGAGGCCGAAGGTGTAGGCCTGCCTGGCCCGCTCGCAGGGCGCGCTGGCGAGCCCCGTGGCGATCCAGGTGGGCTGGCCGGCGAAGAGCGCCTGCCCCGGCAAGCCCATCCCGTTGGGGAAGGACTGGGTCATGGAGACGAGGAAGAACCACTCGGTGTCCGTGACCTCCTCCTCGACGGCCTCGTCGGGCGCAGCGGCGCCTCCCCCGGCTATGAGCGAGTTGAGCTCCCTGAGGACGCGCTTGCGGTGCTCCTGCTCGGCGGCGGAGGCCGGGGTGGGCTGCTGGCGGCGCTTGTCGGCGTCGTCGCAGCCCTTGTAGTAGCCGTCGCCCCAGCCGAGGAGCGAGGCGCCGGCGTCGGTGGAGAACTGCCAGAAGATGGCGTAGGTCCAGGTCTCCCTGGAGCCCTCGATGATGGCCTGCAGGCGTTGCTGCAGCGTGTCCTGGTTGAAGGCCGGCTGCTGCGGGACGGCGGCCGGCGGCGGCGGGGTGGCCGCCGCGCCCCATGGGAAGGCCGGCATGTCGGCGGAGGCCATGAAGGCCTCCATCATGGAGGCGTTGTCGTCCGTCCACAGGTTCATCGGGCCGGGGCCGGGGTCAGGGGAGGGGGAGGAAGGGGAATGGATGGGAGAGAAAGCAAGCGCGGGGGAGGGTGGAGAGAGGGAGATGGGAAAGGTGGGAATGGATTGGTGGTGAGGAAAGATGGGAGGCGAGGCCCAAAGTAGTAAATTGTGCGGGTTTGGTCGCCGTCGACGTCTCCGCCCGCCGATGCGTCGCTCCCCCGCTCGCTGCTTATTTAGCTGGCCGGGGTAAAATAGGGGAATCACTGCACTGATTGTGCTGCTCTGCTGTTCTTGCAGCAGCTGCCGTTTCTTCTCTCTTTCCTCCTCGTTTGGCTGCCCGAATTTTGGGGTAACCGCCGTGTTCGTAGCCTCCTGTCTGGAGCGAGGGCCCGGGTTGTCAGTGACCGATTTAACCCATTAATCGGATTTAGCCTCCCCTGCTTTGGGGTATCCAGTATGGATGGGTCCGCCTGTCAGCCACCAGTGATTTATTCTATTGTGGGGTTTATCTGTGTAAATGAGTTGTCTTTTTAATTATGTGTCCCTCAAACAAATATTCCCTCCGTTCCTAAGTCCTTTTAGATATTCCAATAAACGACTGCATACGACAAAATGAGTGAATTTACACTCTAAAATATGTCATATACATCCATATGTAATTTGTATTGAAATCTAAAAAGACTTATATTTAGAAATGGAGGAATTATTTTGCAATCACGACCCAAAAAAGAGCCGTAGGGGGGAACAAGGTAAACAAGCAAATATTCACTGTAAGCATAGGGGGGCGACCAAAGATCCAGAACATGTGACCGTTAGATTTTTTTTTTCTATAAATGAAGGTGGTATCTTTGGGTCATGTTAATTCACATTTATGACGTCCTTAGCTGGTACGCAGTGATTCCCTTCTCTTACAAAGAGATAAGATCGCATTATCATCATATTATTTGGTAGTGATAATGCACTTTCCAAATTTCTGGCAACGAATTAAACACAATGAATAAATCGATCGGAGTGCAGGCAGAACGGGGATACCAAAGATCCAGAGCATGTGACCGTTAGATTTCTTTTCTGTAAATGAGCGATATTTTTGGGTCATGTTGATTCGCATTTATGACGTCCTTAGACGAAATGTGTTGAATCACTTCCCCTGTGGAGAGATAAAATCACGGTGCGTTGCATCATTTGGTAGCAATAATGCATTTCCAAATTTTTGTCGATGAATTTAACAACTTAGTGATCACGATAGAGTCGCAAGTGGTAACAAGAGGAATAAGCCGATTCTCAATGGAAGCATAGCAGGTGACCTTTAGATTTCTTTCTCATAATGAGTGTAGCATTCTTGGGTCATGTCACCTGGTATGCTAGGAATCACTTCTCACACGAAGAGATAAAATCCTATTGCTCCGCCTTATTTGGTACTTATAATGCACTTCCAAATTTCTGGGGGCAAATTAAGGACTTTACAATCATGATAGAGTTGCAAGTGGGTACAAGACAAAATAAGCTATTCCTAGTGGAAGCATAGTGGGTCGATCGAAGATCCAGTGCACATGACCATTATATTTCTTTCCATAAATGGGTGTGGTATTTTTGGGTCATATTATTTACGGTGTCCTTAGCTGGTATGTTGTGAATCGCCTCTCATATGAAGAGATAAAAATCACATTGCATCATATTTTGGTAGTGATAAAACACTTCCAAATTTCTGTCGGCGAATTAAGGACTTCACAATAACGGTAGAGTTGCAAGTGTGAATGAAAAGAATAATCTAATTCTCAGTATGAAGCATGGCAAGGTGAGTAGAGATCCAGAGCATGTAAGCATTAGATTTTCTAAATGAGTGAGGTATTTTTGGGCCATGTTAATTTACACTTGCGACGTCCTTGGTTAGTATGTTGTGTATTGGTTCTCATACAAAGAGATAAAATTCCAGCGCACCATAATATTTGTTAGCGATATACTAACAATGCACTTCCAAATTTGTGGCAATGAATTAAGGACTTTACAATCACGGTAGAGTCGTATGTGGGAACATGACGATTAAGTTGATTCCTATCAGGAAGCGTTTCTACTCCCTCGTAAGGGAGCCACGTGGAGTTTATATTGATCAGGGCTCAAGGCCAAACTTGGAGTACAAGTTGAGAACCTACCGATCTCTTGGATTCGGTGGTTTGGATATCCTACGAGAGAATAGAGAGAGGGGGGGTTAGTTGAGATTACAACAAGTATTCTACACAAACTCTAATGCCCTCCCTTAATCTCAACTATCCTAGATTGATATTCCTCTTGAACTCTTCAAATGGCCGAGTAGGCAATGCCTTAGTGAACCCGTCTGCCACTTGATCTTTTGATGAAATGAATCTGATATCCAGCTTCTTCTCTGCAACTCTTTCTCTTACAAAGTGAAAATCGATTTCAATATGCTTAGTTCGAGCATGAAAGAATGGGTTAGCGGAGATATAGGTGGCTCCCAAGTTATCACACCAAAGACATGAGACACGGTGTTGTTTAACACCTAACACATTAAGCAATGATTCAACCCAGATAATCTCAGCAGTTGCATTTGCTAGTGACTTGTACTCGGCCTTAGTATTTGACCTTGACATTGTAGCTTGTTTTCTAGCACTCCAAGAAATAAGATTAGAACCAAAGATTAGAACCTCAGCTGAGAGCTTAACCTTGAGTACCATGCTCTTGGGGCATGTTTTAGGCAATAAAGTGCTTTGTCAAGTCTGCACACATAATGAGGTATTTTCTTATCTGCATACCCAGGTGGTTGTTTCATATAAACCTCCTCTTCCAGAACACCATGCAAAAACGCGTTCTAAATGTCTAGCTGCCTCAAGCTCCATCCCCTGGACACAACAATAGATAGTACAAGCCTAATAGTTGCAGCCTTGAAACAAGATTAAATGTATCCTCATAATCTAATACATACCGTTGTTTAAAACCTTTTGCAACTAACCGTGCCTTGTACCTATCAATTGAGCCATATGCCTTCTTTTTAATTCTGTACACCCACTTACAGTCAATGATGTTTTTACCTCTTTGTGCATGTACAAGATGCCATGTCTTGTTCCTCATAAGTGTTGAATATTCTTCATCCATTGCCTGCTTCCATCTCAAATCTCCAAGTGCATTTTTTACTTTTGTCGGTTCTCCTACAACACACATCATGCCATACGGTATTGTACCATCAGTTCGAACCTTTGGATTTTTTATACCTTTTTGTAGGCGAGTTGTAACACGTGACGTCATCACTGGTTGAGGTTGAGCTAGTTGCTGCACAGGAGAAGACATAGGAGTCTATGTCGCAGAGGATCCTGAGGATGCACCAGATTCACTGCTTTGCACAGGAGATCCGATCCCAAAATCTATGACCTGCTGTGTGGCTGCACTTGTACTGCTGGAGTTGGTTGCCGCGGAGTCGCTCGCCACAGGAGATCCTGCATGCAGCTGCATGCGCACGCACGAGCTCAATCCCGAGCCGACCAACGGAGCTGGCGCGGTCGCTGTCGCCCGCCTGTGTGTGGGACCGTGCGGGGCTGGCGCGCTGCCTGGCGATGTGGTAGTTTGCTGCTGGCCCGCAGCGCGGGTGATCCGGGGCGGATCCCCGCGACAATCCCGAGGGATCCTGCCGCACTAGCGTCGCAGGCTGCAGCGAATCGTCCTCGCGTTCAGCGTCGGCTTCGTCTTCTTCTTCCACATGCAATATGCCTTCGTTTTGCACCGGATTTTGATCATTTTCAACTCTGTTTTCTTCTGCATTTTCACCATGGACCTGCGCATGATCAAATGCAACACCAGAACTAGTTGAACAATCATAGTGGTCAGTACAATTGTTGCCCCCTTGATCAAAGGACCAGAGATTAGGAGGAAGAAGAAGAATTTCTTGTTTTAGACGAGCTCTGGCGTTTGGATGAAGAGACTCAAAAGGGAAGACAGTTTCGTCGAACACAACATCTCGTGATATATAGACCCTGCCAGAAGTGACATCTAAACACTTGACTCCTTTGTGGAGAGGACTATACCCCAGGAAACACATTTTTTGGAACGAAAAGCAAGCTTGCGTGTATTGTATGGTCGTAGGTTGGGCCAACATGCACAACCAAACACTCAAAGAGATTTATAATCTGGAGTGGTGGCAAAGAGACGTGTGACAAGTGTTTCAAAATTGATGACTTTGCTAGGCAGCAGGTTGATGAGATATGTGGCAGTGAGGAATGCTTCATCCCAAAACTTTAGTGGCATAGATGCATTGGCAAGTAGGGCAAGACCTACTTCTACAACATGACGATGTTTTCTCTCTGCAGAACCATTCTGTTGGTGTGCATGTGGGCACGCAACATGATGAGAAATGCCAAGTTGCTGAAAAAAGGAGTTCAACTTCCTGTATTCACCCTCCCCCCCAATCAGTTTGCATATCAATAATCTTAGTGTTTAGTTTTCTCTCAACAAGGTTTTTAAAATTGGAGAAGACTTGAAACACTTCAGACCTTTTCTTAAGAAGATAGATCTAAGTAAACTTGCTAAAATCATCAATAAAGCTTACATAATATGAGTATCTACCAACTGAAGTGGGAGTTGGTCCCCATACATCTGAGAATACAAGTTGTAGGGGTGCAGTGGAGATGCTAGTATACACAGGATATGGTAGCTGATGACTTTTAGCTTGTTGACATAGATCACAAACTGACTCAATACTAACTTCATGGGAGTGAGGAAGTTTATTTTCACTAAGCACACGTTTAACTATAACTGATGAAGGATGACCTAATCTGCTATGCCACTTTGATGATGAAGGCTTGATAGCCACAAAAGCTTGTTTATTCGATGACAATGATGACGAAGATATGAGTGGGTAAAGTCCTCCCACAGATATGCCCCTAAGAAGTACTCTCCTCGTGGCCAAGTCCCTGACAAGAAAAAATTAAGGATAAAATTCAATGAGGACATGGTTATCACGAGTAAATCGATGAACGGATAGA